ATGGTTTGATGGGTGTGCCATCGAGAGAGATGTAGATGCTGGGACTCTTAGAATCTCCCAAACCCGATTAGAAGTATATCGACAGCATGGTTGAACGCTTCGATGTGCAATCAACTTCCCGCATCCCCGCTACCCCTGGTGCCGATCTAGGGCCGAAGCGAGAGGATGAGGAGGGAGGGGAGTGGCCGGTGAGGGAGGCCATCGGCAGCATGATGTGGGTGTCGACTTTCTCGCGTCCAGACGTCTCGTTCGCCGTGCGTGCGGTAGCGCGCCACGCCCACGCCCCGGCGAAGCGGCACTGGGATGCCATACAGAAGATCCTCGGCTACCTGAAAGGGACGAGGGACCTCGGCATCACGTACCAACGGGAATCGGGGTTAGGGCTGGCCGTGTACGTAGACGCTAGCTACGCCGACACGGAGGATAGGCGTTCGGTGTCAGGGTTGGCGACGACGGTTGGAGGTACCGTAGTCAGCCATGGTAGCAAGACGCAGAGTATCGTGTCTTTGTCTTCAACGGAAGCCGAGTACATTGCTGCCGGGGAGGGTGTCAAGGAGGCGTTGTTTGTGCGTGCTGTGCTTTCGTTTGTCGCCCCAGAGACCAGTGGTAGCAGCATCAAGGTCCTTGAGGACAACCAGGGGGCCATAGCGTTGGTGCAGAACCCTCTCAGCTCAGGTCGTACGAAACACATCGACGTGAGGNTTCGACGGAAGCCGAGTACATTGCTGCCGGGGAGGGTGTCAAGGAGGCGTAGTTTGTGCGTGCGGTGCTTTCGTTNCGTACGAAACACATCGACGTGAGGTTTCATTTCATCCGCGCATTGTTTAGGTCGGGCGATATTTCGGTCAAGTTTTTCCCGACAACGGAGCAACACGCGGACCTCCTAACCAAGGCCCTTAGCAGGGCCAGCCTTTAGTATCTCCGGCGCAAGCTGATGAATTTGCCGGAGTAGCTGTATGTAGCAGTTTCTAGCACTCGGGAGAGGCCATGCTTTCCATGCGGGGAAATGTATGACTACTTGATCTTCAAAAGTAGTAGTCGACGGCGGTATCTTCTGCTCTTGTTTCCCTTTGCGATGGACCGAGCAAATAAATATGGAACTGTAGACTAAACTACACACATACCATACCAATATGTGATTGACAACCTTAGTATCCATTTGGGCTGGCCTTAACCGGATTGGTGGACCACTTTGTTTGCGGCCTACGCCACTTATTTATCGGGTGAGACAGTTTTGGTTATGTATTAACTTCTTAAGAGGTAGACGATCGTCCTTCACATGGACGAAAGAGGAAGTGCTCAAAGAAGAGCGGCTCCCACAGCAAGGAGGGGCCCCGTGAATCATCGCGGTGACCCCTACCAAACGGCAACCTTACCAGTCTGCGTGACACAAAATCATCCAGCACATGTATCCAACAGCAATGTTCNTGTATCCAACACCAATGTTCGCAGACCCACGAACACCCTCCCTGGTTCTTCACGCAAGTTACTCTCTATCTATTAATGGGGCAAGAACGCCCCTGGATACATAAGAAAAACCAACATTGTTGTTGTTGTTGCTGTTGTTGTTTTTCTTCACATTAAAACTCGTGTCAGTTGCTAATCCCAAAATCTAGCAAAGACTCGGTCCGTGGTCACAAAAATAAATGCTAGACATCAGAAGATCTAAAGAACACACACACACACTGTAAGCAAGAGCAGGGTACACAAGCCCGAGCAGGGACACCTACAATCCCTGCAGCCCGTTTGCGTGCTCACAACTGAACTGCACGCCCGCACACACAATTCGACTACAGCAGCAGCATCACCCCCCTTGCCCCGCATTTAACCAAAATGAATGTTTGTCGACTACAGCGTACTGCTGTCTGAAGTGCCGTCTGTACAATAA